TCATTCTAGAGCATGCCGTTCCACCTTTGACATCCCCATCTCTCAATACATTAAAACATCAATAGTACAAGACCCTTAAAGCATATCCCAACAGTTCACTATAAAGTTCACATTACCACTGCGCAAATCAAAACAAGTCCGTGTCAAGATAATAAAACATCCTCGTCTCATGCTAAAACCAAAAAAAAAAAACCATCCTTTTTCGCCGAAACATACAAATAACAAAACATCACATCACACTCAAGAAGCTAATACCTCCTGGGAAAACGGTCAACAAACCTCCCGGACGGGCACTCAAACGCCATGTGGCCTCTCCCCCCACAATTATGGCATATAACAATCGACGTACAATCTCTGCTGATGTGTCCCACCTGCTGACATGTCCTACACACAATATCCCGCAAATACCCTCCCCCGCGGGCCCCACCCCTCTCGTCGAGCATTCCAGCCTTGGGGCAGCTTCTGGCCACGTGCCCGGACACATTACAAAGGTTACAGACGGGCTCGTTTGTGCAGTCACGTACGAGGTGGCCCGTTTTCCTACAGTTCTTGCACGCCTTGTCGTTGGTACAGTCAGCCGATATGTGGCCTTGCTTGAAGCAGTTGTTGCACAGCCTCAGGTCGCCAGGTGGCAGCTGAGGAGCTGAGCAGTCACGGGCACGGTGACCGGCCTTGCCACAAGTGTGGCAAATGCCCTCGTTCGGGCAGTTTCCAGCCATGTGGCCCGGCTCACGACAGTTCCAGCACAGGGATTTCGTGGTGCATTCTGATGCGATGTGCCTGGCCACATGTTTGATAAGGTTAGAAGGTGAAAAAAATAGTCAAAGCATGCATCGAAAAATTTTTCTTCAACCACTAGAATGTTTGGTACAACTAGCTGATAAGTTAGCTTATAGATCGTAAGTGATTTTCGAGCTTATAGTTTATGACTTATAGCTGAAAAACTAACTTATATGATAAAAAGTGTGTTTGGTAAATTTAATGATAAGCTAGCTGAAATAAAATTTTCAATGAGCTTATTTGAAAAGTTGCCCAAAGAAGCTTAGAAAAAGTTCGTCCTACCAAACGAAACTTATTTGAATACAAGAATCTTATAAACTAACCAAATAAGCTTCTTATTTGGTTAACAAACATAACCTATATTATTCTAGAAGAAAATAAATATAGAAAATTAAATGAAATTGTTATGCTACCAAGGAAGAGAGTGCTGGTAGATGACGAATCTTATCTATAATCCAACATTGCAGTTTTCACAACCAAACATACAAAGATGCAGCTAAGCATGTGAAGTGGATCTGCATTAAGCAACAATAAGTACAGAGAGTGTATACCATGTTGTACACAGGAAAGAACAAAAATGCAGACAATGACTCCGCTACAGGCTGATTAAACATTATAGCGTTCTAAGGAATTGAGAGATACAAGACAAGAGAAAGTGCACTAGTGTTGTAAGCGAAACGAGCGAGCCGAGCTTAAGCATTTCTAGCTCGTGTTCGTTTATGTTCGAACACTTTTCGTGTTCGGTCGTGTTCAAAAAATTTAAAAACAATCTTTTAAAAATTATTTGATGAACTCGAGATTTGTTTGTTCAAATATTTTTACATTTTAAATTGTTTCAATAAAAATATCATATTTGAATATAAAAACAAAATAAAATTACATTAAATTAATGTTCACGAACGTAACAAGCTCGTGTTCGTTCGATTACTGAACGAGCCTAATTTTTTGTTTGAACTAGGCTCGATTAACAAATAAACGAGCTCTTGTCGAACACGAACGAGCTTCCGTTCGCGAACATTTGGTTCGTTAATAGCCCTAATAAGCGTACACAATAGGCCAATAGCATGACAAGGCCATAAAACGATTAAATATCGCACAACCAACATATCATCTCAATAGGAACCACTTACCCAGGAAGACCGCAATTGTGACAAATGGCCACATTGGGGCATTCTCTAGCGAAGTGGCCTGGCCTTTTACAGTTTTTGCACAAACTGCTCTCACTGCAAAAGCACCAAAAAAAAAAAAGAAAGAAATGTTTGAGATGTCAGTGAGAAGCATTTTTGTTGACTTATCAAGGTTAAGCAAAAGTAAAACACTTTAACCAAATTTAGATATATTTCCTTTCCGTTTCTTTCACTGTTTGTTTCTCTTTGGTGACTGTCCTATGAAGAACGCAGGTACAGCCGTACAAGAAAAAAAAAAAACTACCATACGAAAACAAAGATTCACAAACTCCCAAAGGCAGAACCATGTATACTTCAATCAAAGGCCAATACGTTCACGCATAAACAGCCAGGCAAAAACACCAGATCCAGTTTACCCTCAAATGTTTCCATTCATCAACTCCCCAATCCTTCCCAAATCACATAAATAACAGTGAAGAAAACTAACAAACCTATATCGATCAATCAATCAATCAACAAGCTGTTAAAATCCCACTAAGTGGGAAAAACTAACTAAGAAACATATGAATGAATTAAAACCAAATAACCTGAAACCCCGCCTCGACTCCCGCCTATACGGTGCATCACGCCTATATGGTGCATCACGATAGGAATACCTCTCAGTACGCATCTTACGAACAACCGGACTTCTGCTCCTGCTCCTGCTCCTGCTTCTGCTTCGGCTCCTGCTGTCTAAGCTCATTTTTGGAATATCACAATCAACCAAATCACACCACCGTGAAAAATTTTATCACCAACACCACAGCTCAGCTGTTGTCTCCTCCCTGCCCACCACAACCACACACCCAAGACCAAGTCAATGATGCCCATTAATTCTTTACGGGATCCTTTAAACACCATATTCTCACACTACAACTTCAAATTTTTTCGACAAACAGAGTTCCCATACATCATTTACAGTTTGTTAATTGTGTAGAAACGCACTAGCATCCACATCACTGTGTTGCGAGCATCCCCCTACCATGAACGCATCACAACCAATCTCAAAGTATTCTCGTTTAACATATCAGCCTACGACTTCATTTTAGTAAATAGCGTCAGATTTTTCACCAAACGTGTAATTATGTACCCTTACTTTTTTTTTTTTGTTAGTTTATTCCCATCTAAGGGTAATTGAAGATGAGAATGGATGGGGAGGAAGGGAAGGTGTGATTATAAATGATGGAATGAGTAGACTGCATGATCAAACCATCAATTCATTAAATAAAGAGAGTGATATATAATTAGACACCAATTTCTCATCCCTTCATCTTCCAAATACAACAGATAGTGTTGTCTACCTCCCATTCCTCTTTCCTTAACACGGCCTCAAACCACATAAATATTATCACACAAGAAAAGGGCAAATGAATTTTTTGGACAGCATTTGTTTTCCATTTATTTACATTGTTTTGAGAAGTGTTAGTACCAACAAATGAATAATATGCCCATATCCGCACAAATTACCAGTCATACAGCACATAAAATCCCAAATATCATACAATGTCATAAATGTTACAACAGCAAAATATTGTGAGGCAATCTAAATGAGAAAAGCCTCATTATCCAATGGCACAATAAGAACAAGATAAGAAACAAGTTACAGATTAGTTCATATCTAGATGTGTACTTGATTTAGCATCATTCTTCTCATGGTTACTTTGTTTTACAACACATAGCTGGTATTAAAAATGGAACTCACCGAGTTCAAAGCTAGGTCAAACTTCCCCACAATTTATTTTTTTTTTTACCTACCAGCTCCTTATCCAGAATTCTCATCTGTAACTGTTGGAATCGGAATCGATGCAGTTGACCAAAACCCTAATCTAGAAATCGAAAGCTTTTAATACAGAATTCTCATCTGTAACTGTTGGAATCGGATCGATGCAGTTGACCAAAACCCTAATCCATAAATTGAAAAACCAAATCGGAGAGGGAAAATACATATTTCCAAATCAAAAAACTAAATCAACAAACAATATCGGCATCCAGTAAATACTGAACACCGAAATGTAGCTTACACTTTAAGGTCAATCACTCAGCAAATCCGACCACAACATGTTACCTAGATTACAAATTATACATCGGAAACAAGATTTGCATCGAGAAACAATCAATTACCTGAAAACCCATTAAAATAGACACTTTAAAAAAGGAGATCCATAACCTATAGAGCAATAAAATCTGAAACAGCGAACATAACCACACAATTTACATGAGCCCATAAACTGTAAATCTGGATAAGCATCAATTATCGTACTGAAAACCACGAAAGAGATCAAGAGATACCTCCACCAACACGAGGATTGAGGTTGTTAGACTCTGCCGAGTAGAGCTACTGTGTGAAGATGCGTGTAGAGAACAATAGCTCACGGGACCAAAAATATGCCTGGTAATGAGCTAAGAAAAGTTCACATCCATGATCCATCAATTGGGTCATTTCTTTTTTTCTTTTCTTTTTTCTTTTCCTTTTTGATTAATTAATAAGTCAATAATAGTTATTCACCAAACCATTTGTCTTCAACCATCGAAACCGAACCGAAAACCCTTTCGGTTATCGACCTTCGGTAATTGAAAATTTTGGTTCAGTTCAATCGGTACTGTTCAGTTCAATTTTCAAATAAAAGAATGTCATCCCTAATTCAAACAGTCTCGATCCCATCCTTCATTAAAACGGCCCCAGACTCTCAGTATGCTTCAACATCTGAGAACAGGGTCGATGTAATTGAGGAGTCATCATCTTTCTTCTTCATTCAAACAGTCACCGACAAGACGGCCTCGGACGGCACCGTCCCTAATTTCCGCCAAACTCGGGCTCACTAATTCGTCCGTGTCATCTTTAGATAGCCTTTTGAACGCATTGAAATGCTATTGGGAATGGAGACTCGCTCGGTGTTTCTTCGATCGAACCGTTTTGTTAAGTAATCATAAATATGAGTTGAGGAGAAGCAATGCGAGTAGGCGGAGCAGCGGCCGGAGTGGAGGCGAGATTGAGGCGGCTCAACTTTGACAGGGCGATGCAACGAGAGAGATCGACGTTTGATAGGCACATCTCGTCATTCTCGTGGTGGAGGTCGGCCTCCTCGATAGCATCCTGAGCTACGCGAGGCACATCGTGTAGCAGTTGTAGAGCTACTGGTACTCGAGGATGCATATAGAGTCGCGTAGTCGGCGCTTGGCGTCCCCGCCATCGTCGGAGATCGAGCTTAGGGAGCAGCTCTAGAACAACGATGAGTAAAAGGCAGCATCGGAGTACAACTAATCATAATTGACCGACGAGGTGGGAGAGAGAAATGGAGTGATTAGTCGGATGATGTATGCATTTGATTACTATTCGTCAACGATAACTGCGTCATTGTTTATATACAAATTATGTATAGTATATGGATTCATAGGTTTTTATGTTTTATTTTTTTGTATTAAATTTAATACTATGATATTAGGGTATGCATATTTTTATTTATGCATTCAAATTTCAGACAACTTTATTTGGGATCTTTGATTCAAATTACTTACACCAGCCAAATAAAGTAAACAACAAAACACTACAACTACAATTTATACGTGTTTTATTAATTGGATTATAGAAAAACAAATTCTCAAACTATATAATTGTTAACTTCTGTTCATAATCAGTGTATCACAATTATACTTTGTAACATTTGATTTTGATGTTATACATAACGTTATGAAACTGGCTCAGGAATCGACCACGCCGTGGGCAGGGGGATTGTCTCGGGACCTAATCTTTGTGCAAACTGGGCTCATCGAGCCCATCTGCGGTGTCGGTCGACCGATGCCCATGATGCCGTCCGACCGCCAATGGTGGCTCCGCCTCCGTAATTTGTCATATCTTTTTTTTTTTTAATATTCATCTCATAATCAATAAAGATATTATATTTCAAAAGATACTTATTGTAACCTATTTTTGTGTTTCGACTGGGGAGAGAAATTATGAAATAACTAATTGATATATGTGAAAATAAAAATCTTTTGTTGTAATAAAATTGTAATCCAAAAAATCAACAATCATTAGTGGAAGTTAGGAAAAACATTGAAGACATTTGTATACTTTAGAATTCCAAAAGCCAAATGAACTCTTCTCGGTCTTGTTGAATTTCATGGCAGGCTAGGAACTTTCAGCCCAAATAGTGGAAACTATATTGGAACATTATGGCCTAGGTGCCATATTATTCCGGTAAAATTTTGTAACTGCTCCCCTTTAACAACGATATTCCACAACCTTCCCACTCACGCACATTTCCAAAAATATCCCAAAATTGGACATAATTGGTCAAACACGAAAAATTAGAAAAAAGTCCCGATTCATTCTGAACTCTTCAAACACTTTTGCAGAAAGAAACCTTCAAGGAGAGACGTTCGCTAGCTTTCCACTTCTAGAGCAGGGAACTCGTGGTTACCGGGAGCGGTTCTGTTCAGGAGCTCAAGACCTATCTTCCTCGTGAAAATAATAGCTTCAAGCTATTAAAATCAGCGACCAATTGCATCTGACCAACCAAAATCATAATTCACATAATCGAGATTACAAAAACTGATTTACAGAATCACAGGTGATGTAAAATTTTATTTGATATGTATGAAATAGAATTCACAAAAAAAAATTAATAAAAAATTAATTTCGTTTTTAACAAATCTATGCAGATAAGATGGGAAATGATCTTCTTTTTATCCAATATAATGGACAGTGGATTAATGAAGTCAGTTATGAAGGATATGAAATTTGTGGTGTCTTCCATAAAGAGAATGAGAGTTTTAATGATTTATTGCAAGCTGTGGAAAAAGTGGTACAAGATGTTCCATCTGGTGAAAGATTGGTAATAAAGTACCAAATAAAGAAAGGCTACAAACCGATAACGATAGGCAATGAGACGAGCCTACGGTTTTACAAAGAGCTGAAAAAAAAGAAAAATGATAACACGAAACTGCCGCTTTGTGTATCATTTGAGCCAAAGAAGTGCCTTTCCATTACAAGCATGCCATGTACATAACGAAATGAAGCACGCCAAATCATGGTACAACCAATTCCCATGATAGAGTATAATGTTTTTCAGAAAGTAATAACTGCAAGTCAAGATTTTGGGGAATGTTCAAAAAGATGTGCAAAAAATCTTATTGAAATAGCAGATGAAAGCCTCCAGCTCATTGAACAGAAAAACAGAAGTGAAGGATTTTGTTGAACAAAAAATTTGTTGACAAACCATCTTCAGTAGACTGATATAACAATTTATTCGCATTTCTAACACACTTTAGACCAGTAAGAACAGAGAACTCCCCAATTCCAAACTTCATTATCTTCCCACACAAATCAACCCATAATTCCTCAGATTTTTTTTGAAAAACTTGTCTAAGAAGAACCAAATGCACAAGTTGAGACTGAACAATACCAAAAGGCAATTTAAAAAACTTTCCAAATCACGATTTTTTCAACATTTCAAGTTGAGATTCAGTCAACATGTTCCTAATTGTTTCATAACGATTAAAATTGGGTAGCCTACATCCAATATTAATTGAATCTTTTACTAAAAGATCCCAATCTATAATAAGAAAAAAAATTAAATAAAAATAAAAATAAGTAACACGCAGAAAAAAAAAAAAAAAAAAAATCACCTTCAATTAGCTCTAAGGAACCAGATTATCTATGTGTGAGGACTCTTCTTGACATAATATTTTTTTTGTTTAATATCTTTCGTCCTGGACCCTTTCTCCAAACGAGAAACCCTTGAGACCTTCTTGTAGGGTTTATGACTCTTACAACCACTAACAGATGAATCATCGTCTCCATCAGATATAAATTAATAAGAATCACTAGATTCTTCGCTATAACTCGAATCAGAAACATAATCTGAAGAAGAAACTTCTTTCATTTTCTTCCTTTTCTCTGGCATTTTTTTTTTAAAACAGGAGACTTGGAAGGATGTTTGACAATTTTTTTTCTTTTCTTGGACTCAACCATGAGATTCAGAAATTTTTTATCTGCAGATCGAAATAAAACCATAGAAATCAAAGAAGAAATGAAAAACACAGCAAAAAAAAAGGTCAGCCTGACGAAATGAAAGAGAAGAAACAACAAAAGAAATTGCAGATGAAATAATAACTGTCATGAAAAAGCGTGTCAGTTACAGCAGAAATTCTATGGTGCCCATATGGGCACCATATGGTGCCGTAATCTCATGATCCAACGCCTAATATCTATTGTGGAATTGATAGAATGAATATTAGACGTTGGATCGTGAGATCTATAGCACCATATGGTGTCCATATGGGCACCATATAATTTCTGCAGTTACAGAATTAAAAAATAAATACAAATAAAAAATCGTCCAACAATTTAAAATGCCGGTTAGAACAAATTAAAACAACGGTTACAATTTAAAATATCAAAACAAATACAAACCCACACAATAAAATAAAAAATCATTGCGTCCATTAAAAGATCTAAAATTAGTAAATTTGTGTAAATAGTGAACGAGGCTTTAACTGTAAAAATTTGACGGAGGAGGTCATGGGGCGTCATTTTTTCTATTATTCCATACATTGTGGGCTCGTAATATAAATTTACTTATGAGCTGTTTATAGTGGGTTCACAAAATAACTTTAGTATAGGCCCATATGGGAGTTAGCACTCACCTTCCTTTCCTTTCCTTTCCTTTCGGTCATTCATTTGTAACAATACCCTTTTCCATCACCCCCAACTGCTCAGGAAACAAGAAAGCAATTAAAGAGAGAAAATTAAAATAAAATAAAAAGGAAATTCCAATAACTGAAATCCGTAGATCTCTCTCATCTCCAAAACCCTCGCTTAGATTTCTCGCAAGTTTGCACAGACTCATCTATCTTTACATGTGTAGGCGTTGTACAGATTAAAGGATTAGGGTTAGGGTTTTGAAGAAAGGGAATACGATAATTGGGATGCCCATGGCGGACGATGAGGATTCTGTAGCGGGCGTGAGTAAACCTTCTGAAACGGAAATGGAAGAGGTGACAGCCGATGCTCCGGCGGCCGGAGGCGCCGAGAAAGGCGAGTCGACTCCGGGATTGGGCGATTCGAGTCCGAGTGCTTGCGGAGAAAGAGCGGAGGCCGAAGGAGGAGAAGGTCTTCCGGAGAATCATGCGGCGGAGGGGGATACGGAATTCGCTGCGGACACTGTGGCGGAGATGAATGAACTGCCGGCGGTGGTGGAGGCGGCGGCGGTGGAGGAGGGTGGCGGTGGAGTGGTTGCTCTCCGAAGTGAAGATCAGCCGCCTGAAACTAATGATGTGGAGGGGGGAGATGTTGTCACTGAAACTCCATCACCGGTGGTTGCCGCCCAGGTGGATGGTGCCCAGGCAGCTGGGGAAGGTGTCACTGAAATGGATGCCACCCCATTTGAGGATCAGCCAGGTGGAGCGAAAGCCGAGGAAGAATCTGAATCAGAAATGGATAAGAAAGTGCTTCTTACCGATTATAATCCTCAGATTGAAGATGCTAGAGGGGGTGAAATGCTGGTGGTCCCGCTGGTTGAAGTGAAAGCTGACCAAGATTTATCCTCAGTAGTTGAACCCAATGTGGGGGCAGCAGATACTGATGCGGGTGATACCGAACAGATAACTGAGTTCCAAATGGATGCAAGAAAGGATGATTTGCAGGTGGGTTTTGAAGGAATGGAGGTTTCGGTTAGTAAATCTGAGGAGCACGTGACAGATGGAAAGGAAAATGAAGCAACAGGAGTGACCTGTCTGATGGCCGATAGTTGTGATGTAGAGAGTAAGGTAGAGGTAGTGGTGGAGGGTGATAAAGTCCATGAGGAGAAGGAGAAGGTCGCTGTTTTGGTGAATGATTCAGAAGTTGAAACTATTGAAAAACCAGCGAGCTTTGAAGATGAAAAAGTGGACTCTGTGACTCTTGAGGAAACATCAGTCACTGGTTGTGAAATGGATGTGGAAATAAAAACTGAGGTAAATGCATGTGTAGTTGTTACAGGCGAACAAGAGCAGATTCCTGAATCAAGCCACCATTTGAATAATCACGATGAAGAACTTGAGCATGCTGAGGAGAATTTGACGTCTGGGACTACGATGGTGGATGAGAGCATGACTGTAGAGGTATCGGGGGTTGACATGACTGAGACAGAAAATGAAGATGCAGTAGTAAGAGAGAATCTTCCTGAAGTGGATGGTAAAGAAGAAACAGAGATGGGAGAGGAGTTAGACTTGCCGAGGAATGTTGTGGCAGATGATACACAGTTAGACGATGCTGAAGTCGGAACTGAAAAGGGAACCGATGAATTGGCTGATAGAACCTCAGATGAGGATGGCAAGATGGAGACAGAGGAAACAAATAGTGATGCCGACGAGCCTGGTCCCGACCTTTATGATTCCCCAGCAGCTCTCGATGAGGAGGAAGATGAAGCAATGGCTGCAGAAGAGGAGACTGGAACACAGGACACAGAAATGGAGACCGAAGCCAATATTGCTGAATCAGGGAAAGCTGCTGGAGGGAAGCGAAAGAGGGCGAAATTGTCGAAAAATTCATTAACTCTTAAGGGAACTACAAAAGCTTCATCAAGGAAGACTGTGGGAGAGGATGTTTGTTTCATATGCTTTGACGGGGGGGAACTTGTGCTGTGTGATCGGAGGTATTTTTCTTTTCTTGAGATGATAACGAAAACGTATTGTGTTTTTCTAATTTGACCGAAAAAGTATTCATAATCATCTGTCTTCATATGACTATTTATTGACCATTGATTTTCTGTTTTGGTTCTCAGAGGTTGCCCGAAGGCATATCATCCTTCATGCGTCAACAGAGATGAGGCATTTTTTAAATCCAAGGGCCGCTGGAACTGCGGTATGTGTTACGTTATACCAGTGAAAAGAACATCTATCAATTTGATAATGTCTTGTAGATACTTTTAAGTTCTTTACCGGCTTTATTATGTAGGTGTATATGTTACTAACATTTAATTTTTTATTTTGTTCCTCAACAATGAGTTGTATATGTGGTTGCAATGAGGGTGTTAGAGGAGGCTTGGATTTAGAGTAAGCATAGAGTAGTGCCCATTTGGTTGATAAGTCCCTAGCCCAGCAACTACTTCCCGATTACATCTTTGAATTCATTTTTTCTTGATTGCTTGGAAATTTTAACAAAGCTATCACTTATATGAAAATGTTTGACTTTAGACTCGCATTAGTTCATGTTTTACCTTTACAACAGTCAATTTATATAAGTTCTTTATGATATTTTATTTACGAACACTTGTCTACTCTAAATTGGTATCACCTTGACCTTGCCCAGTTCGCCACCTGAACCCATTTATTTAATGATCTCAGTTTCGTTCCCCCTCCCCTTGCGTCCTCTGAGGAATCGAGATGACCTGTATATTTGTTTATGTTAACACATTTAATTGCTCAGCTGCTTCATAACCTGAAAATTATAGTTCGATAAAGTGGAAAACTCGTTCACAATTCAATCATAATACAAACAACATATTTGATCTGTAAAAGATTACAATAAATTCAACACACCAACTACAAGAACAAGTTAACTGGGGTTGCGTAATGCTGACTGGAGCTGATATTTTTATCAGTTACTTAATTCTTGTCGGACATGATTTGTACTCAAACTGTTCAAACCCCAACGTTCATAAATGTTCTAGGCTTGTGTTGCGTCAGAAAATGTCTCCCAGGTGATTCTTAAGCTGAAGGATGTGCTATCACATGTCCGTTAGAACACTACTCGAGGTTGGCTAGGATATGGAACTTTATCTTGATGTAATAGCCATGTTAGCTAGCAACTTAAATCTGTTTCTAGTGATATTGTCTTGGAAAATTTTAAGTGCATCAATCAACTTAAGTCTGTTTTCTTATGGCTCGTCTTTGGTTCAAGTGCTATGTAATTTACTTCTGTCAGCTGTTTAATGGGTATACAAAGTAATTTTGTATCTGTATGACCCTTATTTATTTCTTGTTTCCAGGTTGGCATTTGTGTAGCATTTGTGAGAAGAATGCCCGCTACATGTGCTACACATGTACTTTTTCATTGTGTAAAAGTTGCACGAAAGATGCGGTTATCTTATGTGTCCGGGGAAATAAAGGTTTTTGCCAGACCTGCATGAGGACAGTTAGGCTAATTGAGAACAAGGAACAGGGAAGCCAAGAGGTACGTGCTTCTGCAATTTTGCTCCATCCCTCCACATCTTTCTTGTCGTTTCTAACTTGATTTGATAACCCCCTAGAAATGCAGTCATCTGATTGCACTAACTTAATTTTTGTGCTTGAAATTTAATATTGATTTAATATTTTTGCTTCTGGCGGAACAAATATCATGTCTGCTCAACTTTCCGAATCCATACCATTTCCACTAGTCATTTTCACATCTTTGACATATGGTTGCTAGATAAACTGTAAATTAATTTAGTGTTCTAGTTATTCTTCTGGCCTTTTGTATTTTTACCTAAGTGGTGTGTTCTGATTGTTTTCTGGCTGCTCTTATCGACTGATGCAGGCTCAAGTAGATTTTGATGACAGAAACAGCTGGGAGTACCTCTTCAAGGATTATTACATAGAATTAAAATCAAAGCTGTCGCTTTCGTTAGATGAAATTGCAGAGGCAAGAAATCCATGGAAGGGGGCAGATGTGTTGTCTGGTCCCAGCAAACAGGAATTATCTGACGCACGTGCTGATGCTAATGATGGAGGATCTGGTTCAGATGATTCAATCGAAAACAGAGAAACTATTAGGCCTAAAAGAAGGAAGACAAGGAAACAACGGAAGTCCCTTTCCAGAGAAGAGGAATTAGTTAGCACTGGTGTTGACAACTCTGAATGGGCATCAAAAGAGCTACTTGAATTTGTTTCGCACATGAAAGATGGCGATACATCTTTACTGTCACAGTTTGATGTGCAAGCTCTTTTGCTCGAGTATATCAAGAGAAACAAACTTCGTGATCCTCGTCGGAAAAGTCAAATCATGTGTGATGCAAGGCTTGCGAATTTATTCGGGAAACCTAGAGTTGCACATTTTGAGATGTTAAAACTTCTGGAGTCTCATTTTCTTGTAAGAGATGAGCATAATGATGATTTTCAGGGAAGTGTTGTCGACACGGAGAATAACCAGTTGGATGATGATGGAAATGGTGACCCTCAGGCCAAGGGCAGTAAAGATAGGAAACGCAAATCACGCAGGAAAGGTGATCGGGGGCCTCAGTCTAATCTTGATGATTATGCAGCTATTGACATGCACAACATTGGTTTAATTTACCTGCGAAGAAAGTTGATGGAAGACCTACTTGAAGACGCTGAAACGTTTCATGATAAAGTCATTGGAAGTTTTGTACGAATAAGGATTTCTGGAAGTAACCAAAAACAAGATTTGTATAGATTAGTTCAAGTTGTAGGTAAGAAGTTTCATATTATTTTATTAATGCTTAGAATTATGTTATTCCTTTTAAGGTTGCCTATAAGTAACATGATCTCTGGTAATTCATTCAAATGTACTTTGAAGTCCTATTTCTTAAAAAAATAAAAGTAAAAATTAATAAATTAATTATTTGTTTTACTTTTATATTGACCTTTGCAATAAAGGGGCCTTTACAGTAAGTCACATCCTCAGAAATCTAACTTTGCCGACGTTCCAACCTATGATTTTATTCAGCTAGATTGGCATCAAAATAAATTTTGGTGAAACATTTTCACCATGCTAATCACAGCACTTACAAAAATTTCATATTGAAATTCCCACTTCATTGATAGACTTTTATGGTACTTCTCCAGATGGCCTTTCTCCCACCTCCATTTTCGTTCGTTCCTTCTCTTGTTTAATATGTTTTGTGTGTATATATGTGTGTAACTGAAGTCAAGGTACTTTTCTGATATTTTGTTTGCAGGCACAAGCAAAGCAGCAGAACCTTACAAAATTGGCAAAAAGAGCACTGACACTATGGTGGAAATCTTAAATCTAGACAAGACCGAAATTGTATCAATTGATACCATCTCAAATCAAGATTNGTCTAGAGTTGGAACTTGGAAATAAACTCAAGTTTTCAGTTGTTTGTGTGTGTGGACCTGATCATGGATATTAATTATCAAAAAGTTCATTATACAGAAAGTGCTTTGACATGAATTTTCACTGTATAAATTATAAAATGAAGAGTTCGTTTGATTCAGTATATTCGATATGCAGTGATGATAAAGCGTTTCATGATTTAATTTTTGCTGTTAAAAGGTTACTTTATATTTTCAATTTTTTTTCAGTTCCTCTTCGTAGATGTCTGGGGCAACAGTGTTAGCAATTGTTTAATATCACTTCAAATGTAATTTGTTTATATGAATTCAATGTTATCATGGCCACGGACAGCTTTTGGGATTCATGAAAGTTTTATACAAACTAAATTATGTCTTTGTTTTAAATCATTTCCCAACTTCTGCAGGAGGAATGTAAGCGTCTTCGCCAGAGTATCAAATGTGGACTCATCAGAAGACTGACTGTGGTAATTATGATTGCACTTCTTTCTTTTTTACTTTTAGCCTAGCAAGTTGATATTTCTTATGAGATGATACGTTTGGTCTGTAGGGTGAGATTCTTGACAAGACAACCGAAATACAAGCAGCCAGAGTCAATGATGTATGTTCATCTTTTCCCTTATCTTTTGAAAATTGCTTAGTTTATGAATGATTAAAGTTGGGTAATATGATCCGGATCCCCTATTTTCGCAAGGGTAATGTAGCTAACGACATTTTGGTAGTTGAGACTTGAGAGAGATGCATGCCTGCCTTGTATGGAATATTGTAATATAATTTCTCTTGATTACATAGTTTTCTGTGTGTAATAGAGTTACACAAGTTATGGTTCAATGAAGAAATGCAAGTCACTCGTGCTTTTTGAAAGGGAATAAGAAGAGTTCTAGGTTGGGAGAGTTGTGTCACTTCCCTTTTCCTTACCGTAGTTGGAAGTTGTTGAAGAAGACTTCAGTCGATTAAATTCCCACGGGTTTTTAAGTTAACATGCCTGTTGGGACTCTTATCATTAAAAACCAGCTATTTTATGGTCTTTTTTCTTGTCCTTGCGGGTTGTAGCTTTAGTTGCACCCGCTTGTAAGTAGATAATTAGGTTATATTGATATTATGCTCCCCTAGTTTAGTAATTACAAGTTAATAAATCATCTCCAGACATAGAATAGCCTAAGTTAGACGTCGTTGAGAGTGCAAAGTGCACATGGGATAAGCATTGTGTTAAATGAAGTCTTGAATGCCTTTGGCTCATCAGAATTTAATCCCCTCAATTTGATATGAGAGTCATTTCTCACTTCTCTTTTACATAGTGCCTTGTAAGAACTGGGCCAACAAACGTCCTGGCTTAAATCATTATATCTCATATGCAGCTAGCATCTGATATTTTTCTAATGCATATATTTTCTTATTGTTTTATGCAGTGGCTGGAATCAGAGACCTTGAGGCTGAGTCATCTACGTGATCGAGCGAGTGATTTAGGCCGTCGAAAGGAATATCCTTTGCCTCTTTTTTGATATCATATAATTTACTTTTTTATGTGTAGCTTGCCCTTATGGCTTTGACCTGAGATATATGACCATTAGCTTATATTTTTAGTGGACAGATTTCGACAGACATGTTCTGAATCTGTCCGCGTAAAATTTCTTTTTGCAACACTGAGGTGGAACATTTAGCAAAAAATACTTGTCCATAAATATAAGTGATTCATATGTTGTTATTACCCTTGACTGAGTATCACGCTTAGGGAATGCGTAGAGAAATTACAGCTTTTGAAGACTCCCGAAGAGCGTCGACGCAGGCTCGACGAAATTCCCGAAATACACGCAGATCCAAAGATGGACCCGAGCTACGAATCGGACGATAATGACAGTGAAAATGAAGACAGTAGAAGAGGTTATTATTATATCCAGTGACTTTTCAGTTTGGTATTCAAAATTTCAAAGTCCTGCACTACTAACATCTGACCCTTATATTTTGAACTTTTTTTCTTTTTTCCTGTGCAGATGCTTTCATGAGAGCTCGAGGCATTAACAGGAGACCACGGGCCCCAATCTCCCCTGGAAGTGATAGCTCCTCGAAATTAACAATTAAAAATTGGGAATCGACAAAGTATTCGTTGGGCAGTAGCTTTTCTATCAACGCTACTCATGTTGGCGAGATAGTAAACGAGAACTCATCTTGGAATTCGGAAAGTGTTAAAAGTACGGATGAATTCGGTAATTTAGAGAAACAGAATTCCAGTTCTAACCATGAGCAGCATATCGAGCGTGCCCCACGCTCCACTGCTTCAGTGATGATAACTCAACAATCATCATCTCTTTCAGCTGGAGGAGCAGCAGTTGAAACTGCTGCTGTCAAGATAAACGAGTCCGAAAAAATATGGCATTATCAGGACCCTTCAGGTAAAATCCAAGGACCCTTTTCCATGGTGCAACTGCGTAAATGGAACAACACAGGCTATTTCCCGGCCAATCTGAAAATCTGGAGATCCACCGAGAAGCAAGAGAAGTCGATACTTTTAGCTGATGCTTTGGAAGGAAAATTCCCGAAAGATTCGCCTGCAACTAATAATAATAATAATAATACCCTATATAATAGCTCACATTCCTCGGCTAGCCACTCTGTGAAATCTGAAATCTCCTTACACAAAGAGAGGTCATCAAATTTGGATCAAAATCTCGGGTCCCGCGCCAGAACATCAGCTGAGCAGTGGCGCGGAAATGATTTCACGAATTTACCTTCTCCAACTCCAAGACAAAGCAATTCGGGTTGGGATGTTAAGGAGAGCCGTGCTCTCTCGGTGGGAACTAATCAACAAAACCCGGTCATTAATGGAGTTCTTGCTTCTCCTACTCCCGTCTCACCGTACATCGGGACTCGTTCTCCTTCTGTCGTTGCATCGTCGTCGTCGATTGCAAATCCGGCCATCCAAACGGCCCCTTTCAGTCCAACCCCCGATTCCCAGCAAGGAACCACCACGCCAGCAGTTCCTCTGCAGCACGCTCAGACAGGCGAACCTCCGGTAGTTTCACAGCTCGCGATGCAGGTGCCGCCCGCTCATCTGCCAGCTGGCGTGCAAGCTCAGAACCCTCAGGGTGGTTACGTGTGGGGTCCTCCGGCAAACACTCCTCAGAATTCTTCCGGAAGCTTCCAGAACTCAGGCACGCCGCCGCCGCCGCCGCCAGCTGGCCTCCAGCCGGACCCCTGGAGACCTGCCGCTGCTCAGGCGCCTAGTCAGCCAAACATGGCTCCTCTGCCGTGGGCCGGCGTGGGTGGGCCCACAGAGAACAACGCCGCGAACAACACTAATATGGTCTGGCCCACAAATATGGTGCAGCCCAATAATAATATTAATCCGAACATGGGATGGGGAAGCTGGGGCCCACCACATGCAGTGCCGAACTGGGGTGTTGTTGCTCCTCCCACTGGAAATGTCGGGCCCAACAGCAACCCAGGCCCAATGCCCGGGTATGTGAATCCTCCTGCATGGGGTCAAGGCCCGATAGCGGGGAATGGGTGGGGCCCGCCAGGCGGGAATAATACCGGGGGCCCACCGCCAGGCCCGGCACAACAAGGAAATATGAACCAGGGAGGGTCGTGGGGCGGTGGCAGTGAACAACAACAAAATCAGATGGGTGGTGGTGGTCAGTATTCTTCAGGAGGAAGGGGTGGTTCGGGCCGAGATTCGGGCTATAGGGGTGGCGGGCCCAGGCCTTGGAACAACAACAACAGGCAGTCTTCGTTTGGAGGGGGAGGTTTCAGAAGGAAAGATATGGTGTGTCCGTACAATAAGAATGGTCGGTGTAGGAAGGGGGTGTACTGTGATTACATGCATACTTGAACTGGAATTTTGTGNTTCGTTATACTTTTTAAGTTTTTCTAATGACTATGAACCTTTTTTGCGAGTTCAGCTTGCTGGTTTTAGTTACTATAAAAATGTTGGTCGCGAGTTGTGATTAGCTCGTGTCTGGTTGGTTTTAGTAGATTGTGGGTTTTCATATCGGTGTCAGCAATGGCGGAAAATTGGCTGCAGCTTGAAATTCTGCCGTTGTTACCATTCTGTGCAAACTTTTAATGGCGATTAGGAAGTGCAAACTTTTAATGGCGATTAGGAAGAAATCCGCCGCTACATGGTGCTGCCATGGCGGAAGTGAGACGGTGATAAGTAGATTGAGATTGTTTAGGGTGAAAAACTGTATTTTTAATTTTTATAGTTGTGTGTAATAAACATGTGAAGTAACATCAGAAGAAAAGCAAACGAAAGGAGCTAAAATGGATTTGGAGAATGGAAAATGCACTTCTGGAAAATGTGTCTGATTATGTGAATGGAAAACTGAAAAAAAAATTGCCTTTTTAATATGATAGGCGCTGCTTGGTTTTATACAATTATGTTTGAATATCTTCGCTTTCAATTTCTATGCTCATGGCATTCGATGAATCACCCCCTCTTGAATGCATAAACATAAATTTCAAACTAAACTCCCAAGTCCTAAACAATGGCTTTGCATTGCAATTTAACCATAAATAAAGCTACTTTGACATAAAGGTGTTGCTATCAGGATTTGTAGCAACGAATCTATGAGAAAAATGCAAATTTGCTCAATTAATCTGATGCCGAACCGAATTGGAGTTCTGCTTTTGTCTCTTAGTTTTGTTTTGTTTTGTTTTTTTTTTTTTTTTTTGNTTTTTACAAAAAGATCCCTTTACATGGCTTTTCAGCATATATATACGCTTGGTACCAAGGAGTATTGTGCATGTGTGTAGTACAGGTGATTTTCTATTTTTGGAAAGTACAACACTATTAAAGGTCTAATGATTGTAGTCCGAATCTCCGTAGAGATCTACGGGTTAGTGACATGTATACTCACAAACCATAAGTTGGTAGTCTTGTCAATCATTAATGCGCGAACGGGTGACGAAAAGTAATCCGAACTGGTATTCGAATCATATAGAAATCCGAATTGATGTTCGTCTTATACACCATTCGGCAAATTTTGCTCCAATCTCGAGTTCTTCACAGGTTGGTTTGTATTACTAATTGTCAACACGTGTCATTTTTCATTGGGTGAGAAGTATCAACAAAAGGATTACAAAAAATTATGTGTCAGGGACTGATCTAGCAAATGAAATGAGGTGGGGCCAATTTTTTGTAGTAATTGAAAAGGCGATAAAACAAAATGTCACTTAAAAAAATAACATTATACATACATTCTAATTTTTTGATATAATTCAAGATGAAATCTTATACAATATCTTTAATATTTTGTAAATTTCAGTATTATTATTCATTCTCATGACTGGAAATGTATTATTATCAAAATAAAAATATTCATCTACCCAATGAAAACACATTAAGTTGTATATATGCCAAGATCTCATGATTTTTCTCAATATTAAATTGTACTCGACATGAGTAGAAGAGATATAATATTTCTCAATATGTTGGAGCAAAGAATTTATTACAATTCTATTTCTTAGTTAATTTTGTAGTTGACATGATTTTTCATTGGCACAATTCTCAACATAACAATTATTATAATAGCATGCGATGTTTTAATATATTTATACAAAGATACAACAGATAAATAAAACATTGTAATAAGAAAATTTTAATATGAGAGAACAAGAAAAAACAAAGAGTAATTAATAAACAATTTCATTTACGGATTATTATTATAAAACTACACAATTTATATATATTATTTTAGGATTACATATTATAAAAATTAAAAAGTGATAAGATATCTATACTTATATAATAAGAATTAACCTTTTTCAAAATTAGTAGGTCAATTCTTAGTCAACATCTTGTCTGCATTAAATGTTTACTAAAATTAGTAACTTTTATGTCCTTTTCACACTTTTTCTTTATGTCCTTTTCACACTAGATTATATAAATGAACGGCCATTATCTCACCTTTCATTAATCTCACCTATAATTCATGTGAATTGATTGATTGCCTTTAACTTTTCAAAACGTGTGCTATCCATTGTTTATTACTATTATTATTATAGTATGCACGTAATCAGTTGATTAAATAAATTATATATTATTATTATTATTATACTCACCACGTGACAGTTAATTAAAATAAATCTATACTTATATTAAAAGGTATATCATTTACCAGATTTAATATAAAAAAAAATCAACAACATTTATTGCATTACTATTTCCGTATTATACAATCTATACTTATAGAAAAAGAGATTCTATTTACTATATTTACTATCCAGAAAAGTCAACTGCATTAAATGCCATTACTATTTTGGTATTATAATATTTTATTTATTTAATTGTTTTATTTATTTGTTTTATTTTAAAAAGGTATGTATAATAAAAAGATTTTAATAATAAAAAAATCAAATACCAAATAAAAATGTACACTTTGACTTATTTGATTATATTTGGTATTTGATTATACCAAATATATTCCTATTTAGTATATACATTAAATACTTACTAAAGTATTTATTTGTTTTATTTGTCAAAGTTAAGTATAGATTTGTTTATATTATCAAATCATAAAAAAATATTAAATCCATATTTTAAAAAAAAAAATCATATAATTTTATAACAATTCTACTACACTATTTAACAATATTTCTTTTTTATTATATAATAAAATAATAATTAAATATTATATGGTGAACAACAATAAGTAAAACTGTTACTTTCTCTTATATCAAGGGATAAATTTATATGCTAAAATTAAATTTTTATTAGTATAAATGTTTTAGTGAGATAATATATTAATTATTTTACAAGCTAGCCCTAACATGCTCATATTTAATGTTTTAAAAGATGTAAAAAAAAAACTTATAATAACTCTATTGTTTTTTAGACTTAAACGTTGATTAAAAGAGGTAAAAATTCCTAATTTTTTAGACTTAAACGTTGATTAACACCATAGATTGAGAGTTTATATTTAGTAAAATTCCTTATTGTAATAAAAAAATTAATTTTTGCTATATTTTAGAATATCTTTAAATTCATTATATATAAAAAGAAAAAAAACTACAATGAAAAAAGCAAGTCAGCTATATATCGATTTGTTGTACTCCTCAAATCACATTCACAATTTGGCTACAAGAAAAGGAAACTCATTGATTAAAATATTATTTTGTCAGTAGTCTTAATGTACAAGAGACTTTAAGACTCCACTTGAATATTATACAACTTTTATTGAACATTGTATAATTTTCTTGCGTATTATAAACTTTTATTGAATATTGCATCATATAATATAATATTCTCTAGATAAATATATCTCGTGCTTTGCACGGGTCACGTACTATATATATTCCGTACATCTTTCTTTATTCATGTATATAATTATAAGCCTAGATAAATAGCCTTAAAAATATACATCCCGTGCATCACACGGGCTCTGTACTAGTTAATATCAAGACATATGTTATTATGTCATTCATCATGATTTTTGAACCATAATATTAAACCAGCCAAGAATCTTGACCTCATCTCTAAATAATATTCGCCATAGCAAAATATATTTTTCGACATCATCCATGGAACATCTAACATGGTTTAAATGCTAGAGACGTGTTGATTTTTACCTCGGGCTCGACAGCTTCATCGGGTTTGCCGGCCGGCCAGATAGTGACTAGCGGAATAATGGTTTTACATTATATAAGAACCTACGCTAGCATTATTAGTCCAAAATTATCATGTAAATTGTACAATTTATGCTTCATTTATGCCGGCAATAAAATGAAAAGCATGTTAATGAATGATTTGGTGTTTATCTTTATAGAACATAAACATTATAACAACCTAACTAAGTAAAAATTAAAACCATCTACTAAAGCATAATGCTTAGCATGAATTTATACGTGAGACAACCTAAATGTTAGGCGAGTCCACCCATCATTTTTTTAATAAAAATACATATTCGCATACAAATATCTTGTCATTTCCATGTGAAAAAAGAAAATCTAAATTGGAAGGCAAGTATTGTTTATAGGTCAATCAATATCTAACTTTTATAATTATCTTATTTTATATTATTCAACTTGAGAGAGAGATTTGCAAATAAAATAAAGAATGAACAAGCAGGCTGCAGCTATAGATAATTGTTGGTATAACACATGATATTTTAAACCACTACCACATGGCATGCTTCTGTTAACTTTATTTATGACAACACACCACTAATAAATGATTAATTGCAAGGGACCACATCATAAACATTGCCCCTATTCAAGTTATTTTCGCCTTCAAGGGGAAAAAATGAAAAATAAAATTCATCGTGCAAACAAGTCATTGGCGGCTACAAAAGCTCCACATGTTATTTAATTTAAAGGCAATTAGGAAGAGCTTAACCTAACCCTGCAGATTCTCCCACCTGGAAGCGGCTCTGTAGCATCCGTACTACGGTCGACCCGTGGATTCACTGGCTCACCGATGATGGCAATATTTCTTTTTGGCCCTATCCTCTCGAGCCACCCATATCCGCTCTAATCTCCTTGTCCGTGAGGTTTGGAACGGAACTGGGTGGAACATCCCTCTCCTTCAGACCCTTCTCCCTTCCCACGTGATTGACTCTATTATCGTCTTCCCCACCCACCGCCCCTCCTCTCCTCCCACTTGGAAACTCTCATCTAACGGCTCTTTCTCCTTTAAAAGTGCCTGGCAAGCCATCCGTACCCCTCGTTCCCCTAACCCTATCTTCCGGCACATTTGGAGTTCCCTTTTTACCCCTACCATCTCTACCTTCATGGTCCGCCTCCTTTCCTTTTGGATCTCCACCCCATATGGCCTATCCCGGAGGGGAATCAATGCTTCTATCCCTTGCTTCTGTTGTGAAGATATGGAATCCATCCCTCACCTTTTCCTCCTCGGCCCAGTTGCCTCAGCAGTATGGGCCAATTTCTACTCTCTCGTCGTTATCCCCCAAATATCCTCCGACAGCATTCAAACCACTCTCTCCCACTGGTTCAATTTTGGGACTGGCAAGTCCCATCTATTCCACCTCATTCCCATTCTTATCCTTTGGTACCTCTGGTGTTCCCGTAATGACAAAAGAGTTAAACAAATCTCCTTCACTGCTCAACGCGTCTGCGATCGAGTTTGGAAACATCTTCAACTCATCGCCAATTCTTCCCTCCTAGAGGAGTCCTCCTGTTCTCGAGCCCCTCTATTGAGCCACCTTCTCTCCCCTTCCTTCCGGCCCCATCGTCGCCAGAATGCCCTCGTATGCAAATTATCAGATGGACCACCCCCCCTGTCGGCACGTTGAAGATCAATACAGACGGAGCCTCGAAGGGTAACCCCGGAGAGGCAGGAGCAGGTGGCCTTGCCAGAGGATCATAGAGGCAGACCTATTTTTGCGTTCCACGACTACATCGGAGTTCAGACCAACACCATTGCAGAGCTCCATGTTGTTTGGAGAGCATTATCACTATGCCGGGACTTGACTTATGACCAGGTTTGGATTGAGCTTGACTCTGAGGTTGTTATATCACTCCTTACGACGACCCCCGGCGGCGGCTGGCGGGAAAGAGACCTCATTCAGAAGATCAGAGCTCTATCAGATACCCTTGACGTCAGCTTCACCCACATCTACCGTGAGGGTAATAGTGCCGCCGACTACCTCGCAGGTTCCGCCTGCCGAGCCCGAGACTTTGTGCTATATGACGTAGCAGACTTACCTGGACCCCTTAGGGGCATCATCAGGATGGATTTAGAGTATCCCAGCATCAGACATCCTCATGACGACATCAGACCACAGGGCTGACACCCATAATTTTAGCCAGCGAGAGATTCCATCTCCCTCCTTAGCTGGCCTGACTTCACCTTCACCCTCGGATTCCTTTCCTTCTTCTTTTCTTGTTAGGGCCCCTTTTGTTGGAGGTCCCAGTTTTTCTCTTGAGTCGACTAGGCTTTGTAGGAGATTTGCCACCCCATTATTGACAAAAGTGATTTGGGCTTTGTAGGAGATTTGCCACCCCATTAATAAAAAAAAAAAATATACTTTGTCAACCGGTTTAGCCATTGGGCGAATTTTTGTCAAACTAAATTTGAGTCTTTTTAATTCCTTATTTCGTACTTTTATAGGTGAACATCTAATCAAATAGTTCTTTAATTAAAACAGCCTACTCAAAAAGTAGTCCCATGTCAAAAAAATCGTTTACCTAATTATTGGATCCACTACTGTTTTTCAGCTTAAGATAGCGTAAGATAAAAATTACAGATAATATAACGATCTATTGATAAATCATTTACATAAAATTACAAAATAAAAGGTGGAAGGCTGGTATGAATTGTTTGAGAGTGAGTTGCTTATGTGCAAAGTTAAACCTAAATGTTTACCAACTAATTATTATCTGTTTTCTATATGCTAATTCAAACCTAACAAAATGAAATTAATTCCAACCTAATAAAATGAAATGAAGTAACGAGAAAGTTACAGTGAACCTTTCAATATTTCCAGAAATGAAAAGCTAAAGTAGACTGAAAGTTACCAAACAGCAACCAATAAGTCAGATACTACACATTATCGTATGCCACACGAAAGGGAAAGATCAAAGATGCAAGAAATTATCATAATTTTATTGTTTTGTTCCAATAAGGCAATAATTTTGTTGAACTTCTGATCATATTCAACTATAAAGTAGATTTAATGCTCCCCGATTATAAATTTTTTTCTTTACTTAATGTAATAGTTATTTGGGCCATGTGAGATGAGCGTACTTACATTTGATTTAACTATCTGTACGCAAAAGCTAAGGCCACACAACAACTGTGGGCTCTGAACCCAACTAACTGCGTGAATGCAAAGTGGGCCCATTAACACCTAACACTGCGTTTGTTTGCTCCATCCTAATCCTGTGCCAATCAATGATTCGGTCGTGGGTATAAACGTAATTTTATAGCTCACAAGCCAAACCTTATATTTCTTGCTTTTCGACGGCAAATTGTCAAAAAAACCGCTCAAATGCTTTGAATTCTTCAAGCATGCGACTTTTTCCAATGAGACGACTTTTCTAATCAATGGACCAATCGAACAATTACTTTTAGGATGTAATTATGTAATAAAAAAGATACTATTACAACACCTGTGTATTACACGGGTGATTGTTAAAAATTATTCTTAAATTTTAAAATTAATGAGAAAAATTATTTTAAATTTTATTACTTTTTTACAAATAATATATATTATTATATATTTTAGAATGATATTTGTTACTTGTGCGACTTACATGTGTTATATTATAATAATTTTGATAACTTATATCATATAACTACTTAAAATATAAATATATTAATTGACAAATAATTTTATTTTTCTAATGAATATTAAAAAAAAAATATTATTTTTATAGAGATAAATTTTATACATACAATATGAGTGTTAAATCGAAACTCATCAAGAGATGATTAATTTGATATATTATATATATAAAACTAATAAAAAATATAAAATTTATTAACTTTTAAAATATATTTACAATTCAATGGTTATAATAAGAAATGATACTAAAATGTAATTAATACATATAACATGACCATAAATAATCAACATATTTATGGATAATCCGAACTTAATTATTTTGATTTGGAAGTAAATTAAAATCTACCCAAACATAATAACGAAGCATGTAATTTTGACACATAAAAAGAAGTCTTATTCTAGATATTTTAAGGGTAGACTAGCAACTCAAAAGGAAATAGAAATTCTAGAATTGGATTTTCTAACCGAAATGGGTTTATTTTGGAGCTGGGCCAACTTAGATTATTCCAAGATGTTATCTTTTAGTACTTTTTTTAGTTCTTTGTCGCACAAAAAACTTTTTGAATTCCCGGTAGAAAGAGATTTTCCTGAGGAAAACGCCTTTAACGCTGCCCAAAACCCCTTCCCTTTCCAACAATTTTTACGAATACGTTTTTTTGATGCAGAAGTACGTTTTTTTGGAACTGCCATTGAGATAAAAATTAAGAACTTACCTATTGATATAGCTCGATGTGAAAGACATCTATTGTTCAAAAAAAAAAAAATTCAAACAAAATGAGATTGCAGTTAATTTCACTTAGTCCATACCTTCATCTTCATTATTTTATTCCTTCCTTTTTAAATATTGAATAGGAAACAATTAATTAAGAATTCAAAAAGAGTCTGTCACTTAAGCTCAGCACGTTCTGAATTTATATATATATAGGGAATTGTGTAGTTATTTCAATGTGAAACAGCCCCATATGGAGCTATCTCATTAGTTGTTTGCTCCATAACGGAGCCAACAGTTGACTTAGTAGTATTTTTAATTATCATATAAGCAGTCAAGTAGAGTTAGCCATCTGAACTGAACTGATAGTTTCAGGCCCAAAATATGAATTAATCGGAGTTTGACGATTTTGATTTTAAATATCTCTCTCCTTCCAAGTTAATTATATTATGCAAAATAAATCCAGTGATACATTGGTATAAAGAAAAAAAAAACATTAATACCATCTCTAACTCAATTTCTTAATTAAAATTAGTTTTACACTGCAAAAATAAATGAATTGCCAAAAAAGAAAAACTAAATAGTAATAACCTCCATATTTCTATGGCTATAAACCTGCCTAGCCTACCCAAACAAACCACCCAAAATTTCACAACCGAAGACCGCCACCGGTTCATACAAACCGGGTTTAGCCCAAAACCTAACCTACAAAAACCCAACGGTTCACGAGCTCTGTTCCAGAGATATCTCCTTCCTCCGGCGCATCTCCAGCACTTTTCGGTGGCTGTTCGAGTGCAGTTCGTTCGAAAAAGTCGGGCTGAAAGCGGGCCTGTATTCAGGAAATAAACGGCCCGACTTGTACCGAACACCGCACGCATTGCACAGCGTTTTTGGGCCCAGCGGCCCACTCCGCCACTGTGGAGTCTTCTGCACCTGGCAGTGCGTGCACTTACGGCCCAAACCGCCTTCAGGCTCGGCCTTTCGCTTGCGGGCCACCAGTTTTTCAAGGCCCAAACCGAATAACCGCTCGGTGGCCCAAACAGGGTTCACGGGCTCCACGGGGCATAAAGAGGTGGAGCCGGCGGGGCTTAGCGGCGGCGGAGACAGAGTCCATGGCCGGCCGCTCGGTTTTCTCGAGCGCGTGGTCCGGGGTTTGCCCGGAATTGGTACCGGGAAGCGTGGGGCCCGGTTTTTTCGGGCCGGGCGGCTGGCCGGTTCGGGGCGTTTGCCGGAATTGGCTCCGGTTTGAAAACTTCCGGCCGGGCATAATAAGGAGAGGCCCGATGAAGAGTCGTCCACGAACTGTGATAGCCACTCTAAGCTCTCCAAATCATCGACCTGCAACAAATACGAAAATTAAATTTTTTTAAAAAAAAAAGGCAACAATCAAAACAATGAAAAAATCAATTTAGAGTGGTGTGTAATTTTGTTTTTTCTCTTTCACGTGTTTAACACTTTGTGACGAAATTACATTCTTTTGCCTCCCATGTTTTGTTCTGTGGGTGAAAAATTGAAAGAGTAAAACTTTTTGCAATATGAAAAACATAGAATATATGTGTTTATATAATTCACAACTTTTAGTACTTCTTGGTCATACAATAATTTGCAAAGTATGGTCAAGATGTTAGAAAAAAATGCCAATTATAAATATTCATAAAATTCATTTAGCAATTTACCAAAAAAAAATTACAATTTGGTTGCAGAATGACAGAAAAACAGGTTGAATAAAAAAAATGGACCCAAAATTGAGAGGGGGAGATAAAATTACCGGCACAGCAAGTTCGGACAGGCTGTCAATCTCGTCGGCGCCGGTAAAACTTGAAGAGGAATTATTGGACAATTCCTTTTGAGGAAATTGATTATCTTCCTGGGAAAAACAAAACCCCTCTTGAAAATCTTTTTCGGGGAGGTCCAGGTTAAGGAGGTCCTCCACCGGGAAATCATCCGCTGCGACGCTGTTGATCTTTGTCAGGCACCAAACGTCGTCGTTTTGAAACATCTGAGGGTTCGTTTTCACGGCCATTTGAGCCAGGAAACTCGATTTCAGAGCTCTTGCCTCAATGCACTCCATAAATTTAAACTTTAACAAAAACTCCTTCAATATAAAACTGCAGAAAAAAAAAAGACAAAATCAAATGAAACGTAGATTTATTTATCTATAAATAAAGGGTCCGTGAAATTAAAAATTACCCAATTATTTGCACTATATTAATTTGGTTTAAACTAATTTATTTTACCTGAATTATGGCTTGTGCAAGCAGGACTCCGGAGAGAGAAGGTGTGGGCGAAAATGGTGGTATGTCACTGATTTTTCTTTCTTTATTTGCTTTTTAGTTTTCCTTTTTTTTTTTTCNATAAAGGTGGTGAGTTGTAACGCACTGGATAATTAACGCTGAGCTAGATTTTTGTTGAGCGAATGGATGGCCGACTGGCCACTCGTAATTTTTTTTTATATATTATTATTATTATTATTATTATTATCTTTTTACCTTTTATTCTTTAATAAACGTGTTAGACAATTGTATTTTTTACGTAACATAAATTTTGCTGTAAAACATTCTAAACCTTAGCTGGTCGATAGGTTATACAGTTATACTACATTATTACATGTATATTTATATGATTAAAAAAAAATATGTATATTTATATGATTAAAGGTTATACTTTTTTTTATGTTTTAAAAATATAGCTTTACAAATAAAAGTATATTAGCTTAACAATTGGATCAACATAACACATGACCAACCTTTTAAACTTATACATATATACATACTTCAAATTGAAATGACATACTATAACACACCATAAATAAAAATATAACATTTTATAATATAAGTATATGATTTTGTTAAAAATTATTATCTAATTTTTTTGTCGCATGGGTGGAGCAAGTTGGATTGTTAGAGTTAGGCGTTAGGACGGAACCCACAGTTTCCACAATGAATTTTTATTGACCTGTTATTACAAAAAAAAAAGTCAAAAAACGGAATTGTTATTTCCAAGTGGGTCAACATGATAATTAATACAAGTAAAAAACAAAAGACGAAATAGTGAAATACGCGAAATCTAGATTGACGGTATGATTTTGAAACTTAACCGCGTTCGCCATGGAATTACNTTGACTAGTCTTGAATATTTTTATTTCGAACTGCATTTTATAAGTGCATCTATTTAGTGGTCATTAATGGATAAACAAAAGATGGAAGATTCAAAAAATTTTGTTTGATGGCATATTAATCCCATCATATATAACTAGTACGTAACTTGTGCGATGCACGGGATGTAAAATTTGGAAGAATATAACCTCACGTGCATTAGGATCGAAATTGAAATCATTAAAATACATAGGAACATCGTTGAATCATAAAAAGTTCGGTAACAATCATATATTATTAAAAACCTCCTTATACACAACATTATGAGTTTGATTATTTGGTAACTCCTCATTATCACAAACTAATATTTTAAAAAGAGACAAATCCTAAAAATCAAACTAATATTTTTGGTGAACAAACTAATATTTTAGGATTTCTAGGATTTGTCTCTTTTTGGTGAACAAACTAATATTTTAGGATTGATTATATGAATAAGACTACCTGTTTTTGGTGTTCTTTTTTTCATTTTAATTCAAACAATCCGATGACTTGTATAATGAAATCCGTATCTTAAGCCGAAATATTTAAAAAAAAGTTTTTAAAAATTGAAAAGTCAAGGCAATTAGTTCAGATTAATTAAAGGTCAAAGAATATACGCTCCTTGAAATAAAGACCGTGTGCTATCATTAACCAAATATCCGGTTATTTATATAGAGTGGTTACCAAGAAATAGAATGCGGAATCGCTATACATTTTAACGATAAAAACTCAGATGGAATGATTTATGATAATTATGTTGTAATTAATGAATTAATTAGATGTGTGAAAATGACATAATTAATGAGAACTGTGAAAAGGATATAATTAATTAGAAATGTGAAAAGGACAAAAACTTATCGGTTTTGGAAAATATTTAATACAAATCCGACATTGACCATAATTTGACCGGATAAATGTTAATTTTTATTATATAAGTATAGATATTAAAATATATTGAGTTTACGTCGCTGATTTGCATACTTCATAATTTTATTTCATTTACTATCAACGAAGCATGAAATCACATAATAAAGTATAATAATAAAATCCATTTGTCTTTTATGAAATCTCATTTATTCTTATCAATCAAGCGAGAAAAATCGCGGTGCTCTCGTGCATCGACTTTGATGTACATATTTTCTTTTTGTGACACGTTATAAGAGAAAATAAATAAATGAATGGAACAAATTGTTTGATTTTTATTTATGTCCTAAACTTCATAAAAGTATATGGTAATAATTATGAAAAAGTTGGCCGGTTTTGACGAGGTGATTGCGCCACTAATCTTGGTCCTTCACGAATATTTTCCCGCTTTATAATATATAGTTAGCTTATATCAAACTAGTATGTCACCTGCGCCTTTGAGCTGATTTAATATTAAAATTGATGTGAATATTTTGTAATTTAATAGAAAATTATTTTAAAAAGCATATATCGAAATAATGTTGAATAAAATTTTTATGTATACATTTAAAATAATAATTATTTATGGTGAGATTTTCTATCAAGTTTAATAATTGAAATCGTAAATGATTCCAACTTAATTCTATTTTATACAATTTTTTCATATAATAATTATTTAAGGTGTGATATGTAAATAATAAAATAATGTTGACAACTACTGATATGTGATTGAATAAATTATATATTATATATAATTTGTAGTGATAATTAATCTTTTTAATTTAAAAAGTATACTGAAAAATATGAATAGGAGAGAGGAAGTAAAGTACTTTTGGGTCTAATAAGTTGGAGCCCATCCCAATTCATAACTGGTTGGGCTAGCCCATTGTTCTTTGAGGAGGCAGCATCATAGCAGCTATGGTGTGATGTTAGCTTAAGGCATTTGTGTACAAACATGAAAATTATTTGAATTTTGTTGGACTTTTTTTAGACAAGTTAACTAAAAATCAATCTAATTTAGATATGTAAATATCATATACAACATTTTTGTAAAAATTAAGTAGGACATTCATAAGTCTGTTCTATTATAATTATATACTTAGACATCAGCTAAAGCTGTTAATAAAACCAAGCTCGTGAGTACGACTCAAATTATTAAAACTCAATTTTTGCTCAACTCATTATATCAGCGCTAGTTTAACAACTTAGTAAAAGAGTCAATATCTTGTTTACATAAGCAAAAGACTGTTTTATAAAACAAAAATGTTTTATCTTTTAAGATTCATTGGCTTTATATACATAAACTTTTACACAATTTATTATAGTTTTAGGTTAGCTTGGCTGATTAAAATCGGTTCTATTTTGTGTATGAAGCTAGAATTCAGTTGTCAGTACAATAAAATTCGAGTCCCATTGAAAACAACGGTAAGGGAAAATATCAAAATATATACATTAAAAAGGTAGCTAAAACTAAAAGGAATACGCCTTTCTCATTTTCATTTTTCCCTTTCCAAAACAGAAACAACTATTCAATTCAAAAAATCATCAATTCTGGAATTCTTCAAAAGCTATTCCGTTAAACCTCCAATAAGATTCTGTATTTCTGTTCGTGTATTCATTCATTCGAGAGCTATTGATCGTTTCGTGAATGGAAGCCATCAGAAAACAAGCCTCGAGACTCCGCGAACAGGTCGCCAGGCAACAGCAGGTACTCTCTCTCTCTCTCTCTCTTTTCTTTCTCTATATCCGTACAATTTCCTTTATGAATTCGGATGTGTTAAATCAGTTCGGATCAGTGAGAAGATTGAATGTCACGGTGCTTTAGATCTGCTTGGATTGCTGATCATTTCGTTTGTTTTTGTCCGATGAATTTCTACATTTGATATACTTTGATTTTTGAATCAAGCGGTTATTGCATCTGTGTTACATTTGCATGGATTTAGGTTCCTGCAGCTTAATTCTGGTTGTATGGATGAAACTAGGGTTCTAAACAATAATCGTGGTGATTATTGTTGGTAGTTTACTTAATTCTCACATTTTCGCATTCTGGTGCTGAAGCTTTGGAGTCTAATTAAAATATTGCGTAGCCGAGCTAAGAGTGAACTGTGCTGGTAATCTGTGTGCAAAACGCGTCTGCTTATATTTTGATGCCTGGTACTTGACTTAGTTGATTAGAAGACTGTTTACTACCTCTCACATTTTTTCAGGTTGAACTTTATGTTGTTACGTTACCTTGCTGCTTGGCTGGAGCTGCTTAATATATTCTTTAACTACTACATGTTGTTTATTTGAAATACTTTTTATCTTTGATAATTGTTTAGATTTTATTATTAATGTATTTGATGCAGGCTGTTCTGAAGCAGTTTGGTGCATATGGTGCTTCAGATATTGTGGCTGATGATGCTGAGTCCCAGCAGCACCAGAAACTTGAAAAACTATACATATCGACTCGTGCTGCCAAGGTCAGTTTGCTCACTTAAAGCTCATTTGTGCATTTGTTGTGTGTGTGTGTGCATGTATGAATTTTTGTTTTGTTACTAGGCTTGGTTATTTTTTCATGTTGTATGTCTGCGTTATCTCTTATTTATAGGTTTTGGTTGTAATTTGACACTTTATCTCCTACTTTTCAGCATTTCCAAAGGGACATTGTTCGTGGTGTTGAAGGTTATATAGTTACAGGGTCTAAACAAGTCGAGATAGGTTAATCACTGAACACTGCAAGTGGTAGTTATATAATATATTGATAGATGAAGTTTGGAGGATGTTAATTCATTATCCCCTTTTTCTTCAGGAACTAAATTGTCAGAAGATAGCAGGAAATATGGAGTTGAAAATACATGTACCAGTGGTAGTACATTGTCAAAAGCTGCATCAAATTTCTCACGAGCTCGTGCTCAAATAGAGAAAGAACGTGGAAATCTGCTAAAAGCCTTTGGCACACAGGTTACTATTGTGGTTCCAAGTTATAACAGAATTCCCATTGATCTTTAGTTTTCATGACTTGTCGTGCTGGTCTTGTGGAACACTGGGAAAACTTCTTTAATAACTATATATTCAGGGTTAGCTTAAGTGATTGTGCTTTTCTAATCGTGAATCAGAACTATCTTGTATAGACTATTTGTGAGTCACATCCGTTAGTTTCATATTTGTTGGATATATACATTAGCTACAATGTCAACTTTAAATCTACCACTTGATTCAATTTTTCACATACACCAACACAGATATATAGACATTCAAATGCATCTACCTTGGCGAAATTGGTAAATAACTTGCACCTTGGAAACATTGTTCCATTAAGAAATAATGTCGACATTTTTTAGGTCAAAGGTTGAACATTGGGAAGGAAATGTTTAGATTTTCTTTTTTATACTAGCTCTTATCTTTTTATAGTTATCCATCCTTTATATTAGACTTTTTGAATGTCACCTGTTGGTTTATGTTCCCCTACTTCACCTGCCCTAGTGTCAATTGTCATGTATCATGTAAGATGTTTACCTCACCGAACAAAGTCAATGGGATTTGCTAGAGTGCTTGTAACTTGTATGTGTACCAAAACTATATTATGCTCGGCATTGCTTGCTGGCTCGACTTTATCTGCTAATTTAGGGTGAGTATCGATGTCACCTAGGCCTTTGCTCATTTGTAGCTATTATTGTGAGCAGCTTCGTCAGAATCCCTTTATTAATGTTAAATCTGGAGGGCTATGTATGTTTCTAGTTTTTCATTTGTAGCGCTAATTGCGAAAGTTCCATGGCGGAAAATATATGAAGGAATCAGACTCTATTCGTATATAAATGAAGGCTTTGAACTTCCATACAGTAGATGATATTTAGCGGCTATGTGGTGATATCATAGTTATATCGTCAGTTAAATGCTTGGCTTATGGCAATATCAGGTGGCTGAACCATTGAGAGCTATGGTAATGGGAGCTCCATTGGAAGATGCTCGACATCTTGCCCAAAGATATGATAGGATGCGGCAGGAGGCTGAAGCTCAGGTACTCGGCTGCACATTTTCGAGTTTATTTTTGTGTTGCTGTATTAATTTATTACCGATCAAATAAAAAAAAATATGCCGCATTTATATGAAGATACAGCATACGGGACTAATGCTTCCCCTCACGGATAATTTTGTACTGAATTGTTGGAACCTAGATAGGCTGTTGAAGTTGCCCGAAGACAAGCCAAAGTAAGAGAAGGAACTGCACATCCGGACGTGGCTTTTAAGCTTGAAGCAGCTGAAGCTAAACTGCACGATCTGAAGTCAAATGTCGCCACACTTGGGAAAGAAGCTGCTGCTGCTATGGCTGCTGTTGAGGCTCAACAACAGAGGTTGACCCTTCAACGGCTAATTGCCATGGTAATTCCACCCTTTGCTCTTCTCCCGTTTCTGTTATTAAATGGAAGGTACAGTTACACCTTACAAAAGAAAGGTTTATTGGCTAATTGTTTTTTTTTTAAAAAAAAAAAAGGAAAGAAAAAAAGAAAAAGTTTGTGAGAATTGTGAAAAAAATCCCTGGGGTTCGACTTTTCATTACCCTCCCACCTTATAAGCAAAAGACTTTCCAAGAAGCCCCTCATATTCGGAAAATATTGTAGATACCCCCTTACATAAGCTTTAGGCTATGTTTGGTAAATCTAACTGATAAGCTAGCTTATAGCTTTTAAGTGAATTTAGAGCTTATAGCTGATAGCTTGTGACTTATAGTTAAAAAGCTAACTTATATGATAAAAGGGATAAGGTAGCTGAAATAAAAATTTCAATGGGTTTATTTGAAAAACTACCCAAGGAAGCTTATGAGATAAGCTCGAGCTTTTCAAAAAAGCTTGTCCTACTAAACCAAGCTTATTTGAATATAGGAAGCTTATAAGCTAATTGAATAAACTATAAGCTAACTTATATGCTTACCAAACACAACCTTATAATTCTTAAGAACCTTAGGGTCATTTTCGCAACTACCCCAAATGGAAATTTGGCATATTACTTGTAAAATTGTTCCTAATTTGCCCTTGTTGTATTTAAGGTTGAGGCTGAACGAGCTTACCATCAGCATGTCCTTCAAATACTAGATCAGCTTGAAGGCGAGGTAGGTTCAAACCGTCCAATGTATTGATGCTTCATACATAAGCAGAAAACTACTTTGTCTTGTCATATGCTTTGATAAATATACCCGAATTTATACTTTATTTCTTTTTTTTTTCTTCTTTTTTTTTAAAAAAAATTCTTTCTGCTTGTTTTATGTCCAGATGATTTCCGAGCGCCAACGAATTGAAGCAGCTCCTGCTCCAAGCGTGAGCGTGGATACTATGCCTGCTGCTCCACCTCCACCATCATATGAAGAACTAAATGGCGTGTCAACTTCACCAATGCAAAACGGGTTGACTGATAGTATGGGTTACTTCCTTGGGGAGGTTAGTAAATTGGAGATTTTCCATAGAAGTTGATAAGGGTATCTTTAGTGATGGGTTTTCAGTGAGGTTTGAAAACATAAAACTCAGGTTTTTCTATTACATTGAGGAGGTTTAAGGTTTAAGAATATAAATCCGGTTTGTGCGGGCATACCTCCTCAAAACCTGCACATATATTAAAGCGAAAAATAAAATAAACAAGAAAGTTTGGACAATGAGAAACACTCAAATGTAATATAGAAATACTGTGTATGTCACCTATTTGCTTTTTCTTTGCAATCAAAATAGAAAGTAAATTCGGGGCCCACTCTTGAGGTTTTATTGTTATTGTAAATTATAAATGTATGAGTAATATCCAAGGTTTTGATGATGTGGTACATCAATAATTGTGAAAGGAGGTTTTGAGGGTGTTATTGCTGAAGATGCTCCAATAGACGTTGATTGATCATTTTTTATATTATTTGCTCTCTCTTTCAGGTTTTGTACACATATCAAGCTGAATCCGATGTCGAGCTTAATTTATCAGTTGGTGACTATGTGGTCATTCGGAAGGTTTGCTACTCTTGAACGAGCATTATATTTATTAATATCCTTTTTCACATTTTTTCCTTGTGTTAATTTCCTAAAACTATGTATATGGTTGTGTGGTAGATATTTGTGATGAGATAAAATTTAATATGTCAATTTACATATAAATTATTATTTTTATTAGTTTTATACATTTTTTAATTTTTATAAGATAAGATAGTGTATATATAATTTTAAATTTTTCATAGTTAATTATCGAGCAGACCCGGAGTCAATTCAGTTTCCTGGACGAGTTTGGAAACACTAGTTGTTACATTCCTTTTTCTCTTCCAAATTTTAATTAAAATTTATCTTCTGCTTTTTTTTCCCCCCAAGGTTTCAAACAATGGGTGGGCTGAGGGCGAGTGCAAAGGGAAAGCTGGTTGGTTTCCATTTGGATACATAGAGAGGCGCGACCGTGTTCTTGCAAGCAAGGTAGCTGAAGTTTTTTGATCTACTGTCAGTGGGTGTGATTTTTAAATGCTCTTATGTATGTGTTTCGTGGATATATAAACGTATATTTAGAGTTTTTGATCTTTGTATTGTTGCCAGTTAATTTTCTTGTGTTATATATTGTGTTATTGTAAATAAAGAAATTTTGTGGCCAATCAAACGGCGACACGTGGAAATTAATTTATTAAAAATCAAGTCATATTTTCTATTTATATTTTTGGAATTTTCATATATTTAATTCCTAAATTTAAATAGTTAATTAATTGATATTTTAATATTTTAATTCTTGACCAATCAAATAATGCCAAGTGTCAAATCTTAATTCTTGGTAATAAATCATATGGCATCTAGAAGATCTTGGAAGATCTAAGTAGATCTAAAAGATCTTATGTGAATCATCATGGACCAATCAAATCGTGTCCTACGATTCTTAAATTTGGTAGGGTTCTCCATCCTACACCTATAAATAGGGACTCTCCCTAATGTCAAAAAAACACACATCATATTTCATATTCAAAGTTCAAGAGCTCTAGAGAATTCTCTCGACGAGATTCAAGTGTTCTTGAAGATTCAAAGGCGTTCTTGAAGATTCGAAGCAAGATTCAAGCGCATTCAACCTCAAGACTGGCGTTCAATCCGGAAACAAGCTGCAAAGCCTCCGAATAACGTTAGTAAATTCAAAACCGGCGTAGAGAAGATTCAAGATCTACTTTGCGACGAAGACCAAGGATTCGTGTTCTTCGCGTTCTTGGGATATTTCGACGTTTGATCCGAAATCAAGGCGTTGGCCCTCGGATTAACGTTAATTCAAGTCAAATCAAGTCAAGGAGAAGATCAAGCCGAAGATTTCGCTCCAAGACTTAAAATTGTTCGTGAGAAGAATCAGAGGAAAAATTAGAGATTGTAACCCATTATATTTATTTTGATTCAAGAAATTCATTTGAATAATATTTTTCGTGTTTTTAAATTCAATACACGAAATTTGTTGTTACAAATTTTTGGCACGCCCAGTGGGACTTCTCTACCTCTCATCTCTTCTTCAAAATTCCTCAAATCATCATGACTAGCCGCAAGGTCGCCATAGTCAAGATTCCTTCAACAAGTTCTTCAAGCTCCAACCTCGGCGTCGTTACAAGAAGCATGGCCAAGCAACTGCAAGCATCTTCGGAGACGACTCCTTTGCACGAGGTGATTGGAAGAGATAAGCTGCATCTTACCCACGAAGGCGATGAAGACGACTCCGCTTCATCAACTCCTCGCTCATCATCAAGCTCTTCATCAAATTCAAGCTCAAGTGTTGCTCCAGTTATGACAACTAATGCTTCAACTCTTGAAGAACACATCGCAAGCTTGACAAAGGTCATTGAAGGGCTCGCGAAGAAGGTCCAAGAGCAAGACTCTCAAATCTCAAAGCTAATGGACAAGGTTGACAATGCTGAAACGAGCCGCATGAAGGAAAAACAAGATGAAGATCGTGATGAGTCTGAAACTTCCAAACAGCAGCAATTTCACGAAAGAGAGAAGACTCCAACATTTCAACATTCGTCTGATGGAATGATCCCCATTGATCAACTGAAGGATTTCATCATGGGGACAATTAAAGATAAGCTTGATGGTGGTTCCAAGTCAACTCACACCTATGCCAAGCCATATACTCCAAGGATCGATAACTTGAGGATGCCTATTGGATATCAACCTCCCAAGTTCCAGCAGTTTGATGGCAAAGGCAACCCGAAGCAGCATATAGCCCACTTTATTGAGACATGCAACGATGCAGGAACCCATGGTGACTATCTCGTGAAGCAGTTTGTTCGTTCACTCAAAGGGGTTGCATTCGACTGGTACACTGATTTGGAAGCAAACTCCATCGATAGTTGGGAGCAAATGGAACACGAATTTCTTAGTCGCTTCTATAGCACAAGACGTACAGTCAGCATGATCGAGCTCACCACATCTCGACAATGGAAGGAGGAGCCAGTCATCGACTACATCAATAGGTGGAGGAACTTAAGTCTGAACTGCAAGGATCGTCTGTCCGAGGCTTCTGCCATTGAGATGTGCATTCAAGGTATGAGTTGGGGTCTTCGTTACATCCTTCAAGGCATTCGACCGAGAACATTTGAGGAGCTAGCGACTCGAGCCCACGACATGGAGCTAAGCATGGCTGCAAGCGGAGCTAATGGGCCACCGATCCAAGAACCCCAAAGCTCCAAGGATAGATACGAGCAAAGAAAAGGGGGCAAGTTTTCCTCGAAATCTCAAAATAAGGAGTCCATGACGATCAATGCTATGCCCGTCAAGTTCAAAGGAAAAGTTGCTGATAAAGTCGTTGAAAAGAAGGATGTCCCCAAGGAGACTGAACAAAGAAGATTGACTCTGAAAGAAATGCAGGCAAAGCAGTACCCGTTCCTTGATTCAGACGTCTCTGGCATATTTGACGATCTGATCGAAGCAAAACTCATTGAGTTGCCTGAGATGAAGCGTCCTGAAGAAGCTGGCAGGGTGAACGACCCAAAATATTGCAAATACCACCGTCTGGTAGGGCATCCAATTCATGACTGCTTTGTATTCAAAGACAAGGTTATGCAGCTGACTCGCCAAGGAAAAATCTCACTAGAAGAAAGTAGCGCAACTGCAAATCATATAAGCGAAGCATGCAACATGACAAATGAGCACGAAGCTCCGCGAGAAGAAAACAATTTGCCTGAGGTTGAAGATCACCATATTGGTCGTGATTCCATGATGGTCTTTACTGACGAAGATCTGCTGCTTGGTTCTAAGCCTCACAATAGACCCTTGTTCGTGGCTGGCTATGTGCAAGAGCAAAAGGTTAACCGAATCTTGATTGATGGAGGATCAGCAGTCAACATTTTGCCTCTTCGTACGTTGAAAGAATTAGGAATGACTACCGAAGAACTTGGTAATAGTCGATTGATGATTCAAGGCTTTAACCAAGGGGGGCAAAGAGCTCTTGGGATTATAAGGTTGAGGTTGCTGATGGAAGATATGGAGTCAACTGCAATGTTCCATGTTATCGACGCAAAAACTTCTTACAACATGCTACTTGGTCGTCCATGGCTTCATGAGAATGGCGTGGTTCCGTCAACATGGCATCAATGCTTCAAACATTGCAAGAATGGCGTTGTGAAGACTGTTCTTGGTGATGATAAACCTTTTACGGAGGCCGAAACCCATTTCGCTGACGCCAAATATTATTTCAAAGATGAAAAATCAGTTGATAAAGTCCCGTCTAAGCAGCAAAATGGATCCAAAGGTGGAGAACCAAAGATTGAAAAGGTAGAAAACTCTTCGAAAGAGTTAGTGCTGCCACTGCCGAAGATAAATGACGATAAACCTATCTCCCAACCACCCATGAAGTTTGTTCGTCCAAGCAAAGGAACGGTAACGGAGCATGGCGAAGGACTGAAGAATTCAAAGTGTTTTGATCCAAAAGCCTACAAACTTCTCGTCAAAGCAGGATACAACCCCAATGAAAGTCACTCTTTGGGAAATCTCATACCTCAAGAGCAAAAGCACAATCGGGCAGGTGTTGGATATGTGGCACCGAATCCAATTAGAATCGCCATCAAGAGAGCAAACGCCAACCATGTCTCGGAAGGAGAGTTCCCGTCCAATGACGGAGAAAAGAAAGGAAAAAGAGTGTCGGTGTTTCAAAGACTCGGTCCAGTTCAGAAGTCTAGGGGCAAACAATCTGTGTTTAAGCGACTTGGATCATCTAAACCGTCAAAGCCTTTAAGACAAGAAAGAGGCACGGGCCCGGCTCCAAAGCTTAGAAGTCGAATTCCATCATGCATGAAATGTCGAACCACCTTAAACATATCATGTGGGAAATTTTTTGAGCACACGATCGTTCATACAAGAGTGCAAGACGATGAAGATGGTGATAGAGAAAGTGTCGCTTCGTCTTACTATGCTTGCGGTACTCTTGCAACTCCTCGAGATGATGGAAGTGCTCTTTACCTAAAGATAGCTTATTTGGTGAGAAAAGGGTATATCACTAGAGTTGATGAAAATGTGCAGACACGGTCTGTCGTGGGAAGAAATGGACGTGTGAGACCACGTATCGACTTCAAAACTCCTAGTGAGCCGATCGAAGATATTGCACTTGTGAACCACATCACTATATGCGAGGATATTCTGATAGAAGAGGAAGATGCTGAAGATGCGCCTCCCGAACTTGAAGAAGGAGTTAAGGCCACAGTTGATGAACTAAAAGAAATCAACTTGGGTGACGCTGATGATCCTCGCCCAACATACATTAGCGCCTTGTTAACTGTAGATGAAGAGAAGGCCTACATAGAGCTTCTTGGTGAGTTTAAGGATGTATTTGCGTGGTCGTATAAAGAGATGCCTGGACTAGACCCGAAGGTGGCGGTGCATAATTTGTCCGTGAGAAAGGGGGCAAAACCTGTTAAACAAGCACAAAGAAGATTTCGTCCCGAGTTGATCCCGTTGATTGAAGCAGAAGTGAATAAACTCATTGAAGTTGGTTTCATTCGGGAGGTCAAATATCCTACGTGGATCTCGAGCATCGTTCCTGTCAGGAAGAAAAATGGTCAAATTCGAGTTTGCGTAGATTTTCGAGATCTTAACGAAGCGTGTCCCAAGGACGACTTCCCATTGCCTATAACTGAACTCATGATCGATGCTACGACGGGACATGAAGCGTTGTCTTTTATGGATGGTTCGTCAGGATACAACCAAATACGCATGTCGCC